ACTACGTTCACGTCAGAAGAGTTTGCTGAGTTTGCAACCAAGAATCAGATCCGGCACATTACAGTCGCACCCTATCACTTGTCCTCCAATGAGCAGATTGAGAGGATGGTACGGGAAACAAAACAAGTGCTACTCAGTTGTCTCAAGGAGATTGGGCAACAAAGCTGTCTCGTTTCTTGTTGGGCCCCCCAGCACATCTTACCCAGTACAACTACGGGGAAGAGTCCGGCTGAACTTCTGATGGGGAGACGACTGCGATCTGCATCCCGATTTCATCTGGATGGATCATCTCTGGAGCGTTACTTCCGAGATGACTCTCAACGAGTTTGGGAGTTCTGTCCCGGCGATGCGGTGTATGCATGGAACTATCAAGGTAGCACCAAGTGGGTTCCCGAGTTCATCGCTTCAGTCACAGGACCCCTGTCGTACCAAGTTCGTCTGTCCGACGGTCGCGTTTGGCGAAGACACGTTGATCAACTCCGCAACCGTGCCAGTCCACTAGACCTTGGTGGAGCTGCCAGTGACACTTGTGACACGACCGATGGTGATCACTCCCCTGTGGTTGGCCAGGACCCACCACTGCCGGGGGTGAATGAAGATTCTCCAAGTCCAAGTCTACCCGCCAGCCCCACCACCTTCTTGCCTAGACCCGACGGTCCTAACCTGCCTGGAAGCCTTTCACAGGAGCGGAGCTCTCCCAGCCAACCTGCAACAACAGGAGCTTCTAGGTACCCTTAATGTGAGAGAAGACCCCCATGGCATTACCAGGACTATGTTCCGTAGGGGGGAAGGGATGTTGTGTATGCAGCAGATCATCGGGCAGCTGTGAGCGATAGCAGCGCCATCCTCCAGTAGGTGGACGTGGACGGACTCACTGTTCGCCATTCCGCTTTCTACCTCTTCGACTCTTGTACGCGGCCAAAGTCGGCCTTGTAAGTAAACCCGTGTTATGCATACCTAACAGTCACATTCTAGCGTAACCACTTCCACCCGGCGAACGTAGGTGAATCACTACTGGACATAAAGAAAGGGTTTAACCTTCAAAGGTGCGATTCCTCTAACAACTCACTTAGTCCAAAGAAACTTTACCAGCATCAACTCTAGCACCTCCTTCACGGCGTTCATCAACCTCTTCTTTTTCGGAGAATAATATAAATCTTTTAAATTATTCTCTGAAGGAGGTGCTAGAGTTGAATCTGGTAAAGTTTCAACCAGAATCGGGCATAACAGTGGAAAGCTTCCTTACCGTGTTGGATCTCTATTTAAAGTCAACAGTCCTGGAATACAATAATCGAAAATACATCCAGAAAGAAGGTGCATGCATGGGCTCGTCGGTCGCTCCGTTGTTAGCCGAGATATACCTCAACAGTTTGGATAGGGTGTTGTTTGACAGGATGGTTGAGTTGTCACCTTACGTGGGCTTCATCAAAAGATATATAGATGATATTTTTGTCTGCAGATTTGATGAAGGGAAATCGGAGTATCTTGAAAAGCTTATTAGGTCAACGGCCCCGGAGTTGCATTTCACAGTAGAAAAACCAGAGGTGAACATGTTGCAGTTTTTGGACTTGCGCATTGAGGTGAAAAATGACTTATGTTGGGAATATGGTATGAAGATAGCTAACCGGTGCTTCCCCAACAAAGTTGTCACTCTAAAATTGTTAAGGCGGGAGTTGCGAAATCATTAATAGGTAATGTGCTAAAAAGGTCATGTACACATTTCATGAGTCAAGCTTTAAAAAGACAATGGGGAAGACTGGAGGATGCGGGGTATGAAGAAACTTTCCTAAAACGACAACTTTCTATTCAAATCGCAGACAAACGGGATGAACCAAGTGTGAGGAACCGACGAGTTGCTATACCGTATTTTCACGACATTTCTCATAACATAAAAGCGTGGGCTAAAAAGTTTGGCGTAGAAACAGTGTTCACATCGGATTTTAAGTTATGCAAACTTGCACCTTTTGAATTGAAACAGGAAGTTTGCCAGAAGGCACATCGCGAAAAGTCGGTACCGTGTAAGAATTCTGTGGTTTATGAGATTCCTTTGTAGTGTGGATTTAAATACGTAGGTCAGGCGTCGAGATGTCTAAATGATAGACTGACGGAACACAAGCGGAATGTGAAAAACAACGCGTCCAATTCCGAGTTAGCCAGGCACCTTCTAGAGTGTAATAATTGTAAAGCCAACTGGTCTGAAGCGGAAGTAATTCACAAAGAACGTAATGATATGAAACGTGCAGTTCAAAAAACGATTCATATAACAACGTCTGGCAACTGTATAAGTCGGGTGTCATTGCAGTTTGGGAACGAATGTAAACAATTTCTACACTTGTAAAGTTGTTTTTTTTGTACTAGCGGTGTTTGTATGTGTATCCTTGGACGTGTTCGAGAAAGTCGCAGTGTTTAGCCAATTGTGGTTCGTTGTAGGAGGGCAATGTCGTTCTCAGTTCTGGAGATGGCCCCAGTTCCGGCTGTTAGCAGTGTCTAGTATTGTCTCTTTGGACTAAGTGAGTTGTTAGAGGAAGCACATCTTTGAAGGTCAAACCTTTTCTTTGTGTCGAGTAGTGATTCACCTACGTTCACCGGGTGGCGGTGGTTATGCTAGAATGTGACCCTTTGTGTGAGTGTTTCGCAGGTGAGGTCAAAGGAGATAAGAGAAGGTTTACCCAAATTTCATTGTCATCTTGTCATTGTTTTTTTTTGTAGAGACGGCATTGGAGTTGTGGTATATAAGGCGTGTATGAAATAAACTGCAGCTGAGTTTGAGACGTTGCCTCCTCTTTTTCTACCTTCTGTTGTGTTCTCCTTTCTGCCCCGGTCTCAGGTTTACAATCATGTTTGGTTATTATCTCTTGCAATATTTATATGAACATCAATGCAATACCGATGAGGCAATTTAAAGATAGGAAATCATTTATAGTACTTGGCAAGTCAGTAAGTATGGAGTTCAAATGATTGCTGCCTTGATTGAGAAGACCCCCACGCACTGATCATAGAAATGACATGTTGTCTCTATTCAACAGAAAGACAAAAAGACTGCCAAAAGTTCCGAGAATGTGTTCCACTGCTGTTGTTCACTATTGTTGGATCCTATTCAGCAGACATGTTTTTGGTTCTTAGAACTGTGAAGTAACTAATCAAAAATATTTAAATTACTGAAGTTACCTATTACTTAGTTGCATTTTTGAAGAATTTCGAATTGGTTTGGATATTTCAAAAGTAAATAAAATGTTACTTATTACAGGTGAACCTCGATTTAACGAAACCCGATTTAACAAAACCCGATCGTAGGAATTTCCCGATTTTACAAACAAATTCGGATTCCCCGCGCAGTCTATGCGCGAGGTCTCTCTTCGATTTTACGAATTTTCTAATTTAAAGAAATAATTAGTGGGTCTCAGTGACTGTTAAATTGAGGTTCAACTGTAGTTATTTGTAAAAGTCTAACTGCATCTGTAACTCAATTGCCAGGGTAATTTCTGAATGCTTGACAATAAGAAGAAAAAAAAAGAGGAAACCCGATTGTAATTGTGGACCCTTCGAAACGACTAGTTATGGACTTTTCGAAACATTGCGACATAATTGTTCAGAAGCAAGACTACATGGGACTGTAGGGACTACAGCATTAATGTGCTCTCACCCTTGATTTTTAAGAGCAACTTGTACCCTTCTTTTAGATGTCAAACAGGTGATTTAGAATCAGACTTGTACCGTACACATTACAAGTAATCAAATTACTTGTAATCAATTACTTTTTGAAGTAATTTTGTAATCAGTTGATTACTTTTATTAGGCAATAATCACAAGAGTAATCTGATTACTTTTCGAAGTAATAAAATTACTTGTAACCGTTACAGTTTGTCCACGGGACCCCCCCCCTTGGCACACGCCTTTTTTTATGAAATGACAAAAATAAAATTTGCTTTTTTTTAGAACGGAAAAAAGAAAGATTTTTGCAAAGTGTTAGGAGACGAGGTCAATCTCTTTCTATGTACAGTTTCTGTGGAATGTCCGTTGTTTTTTTTTTTTGCGAGCTGGGACTGGGAGTGGAAAGCCCCAGGGAAGCCACAGTGCATGACAAAGGCCTTTCAGGGCAAAGTTTGAGGAAGCAGAATGCAGCCTTGCGAGTCCTTCGTTCAAACTAGCCCCCTCACGCACACACACGCAGAAATAAAAAAAAATAAAAAATCCTGCTTAGGGTACCTACTCGCAGCCCGTAGGAGAACCAGAACCGAAGAATGCCTAAAGCGGATGCAAAATGTAACAAAGGCAGTTGAAATATTTCCCCATTTCCCCTACGTGGTCTTTGTGACAAGCAATGTTTCGAGTTGAGAAGTGGTCAGGGCGATCTCTTCCGCTAATGGATACTACACGTGATGCGTTTCAAATCCTGGAGCTGCTGCTCTTTTGTATAACATGCGAGCTCATCCACATGTGAATAATAAAATGAGCGACAACCCTTGCTTAAGCTTAACAAGATCTAAAACCCCCTCCGCTCCACCCCCCCCCCCCCCACACACACACACGCACACACACACACACACTCTGGCGAACGCCCAGATCATTAAACGTCTTCAAACGAATTCTATGCTTGTGTCCGCATTGTGAAGGTGCAACGACCACCGAAGAGGGAGCCAGTTTTTCTTCTTCAATACTTGTGCAAATGTGAAATATAGGTTAGAAGTAGTTCATTGTTATGAGTGCTAAAGATGTGTCTTCACACAATAAAGTAATCGGAAAAGTAACGATTACTTCTTTAAGTAATGTCCAATTACTTTTGCCATCGAGTAATCAAGTAATCTAATCGAATACTTTTTAGCCAAGAGTAATAGTACTTGTAATCGATTACTTTTTTTTAGTAACGTGTACAAGACTGTTTAGAATGAGCCTAGATCATAGGAGCAAAACAAATTCACTAAGTACAGTGTAAAAAATGTCTACAGGTTTTGAGAAAGGCCCAGCAGAAGTTACTAGACATTTTATGGCTTCTCTTCCAGCTCTATGTGATGGAAACCTGCTTCCGTGTTTTGGAGAAAAGAGACCTCCAGGTTTCTGACGTTCAGCCTGGAGTCGTCGAGCTCTTTGACTATTACCGCTACCGTGAGTACTTCCTTTCCTTGGTTAGTATACTGATTGAGCAGATAGACGTGCAACTTAGTTCGCGGCTGGGAGTTTTGCTGCAAATGCTGCTTTCGGTTTTCATAAGAGTGCTGCGCAGAGCATTCACACCACTTATGGGGGTCTTAAAAGATACATAATGGCATCTGGTCCCAGAAGCTACATTTGGTCATAGACTGAGCATTTCTCAATGTGCAATTTATCTTTACAATATATTGTTCTCTTTTTTTGAAGGCACCAGGTACAAATGGTAAGCCTGTTCTGAAGGCTGACACCAGTTTGACGCTGGTTTGATGCTGCTGGCTTAACTGAGCATGTTCCACCAATTAGATATCATAAAGCGCTCTAAAAGAGAGTCCTCCATGGGCCTTTCTTGCTCGTGGAGGTCTGACGACAACGTCATGATGTTATGTGACTTAATGGCATTACATTACACCAATTTCTCTGCTAAATTCATGTAATCATGTGATTTGATGCCACAGTGCCATTTGACCTGAGATCACATGATGTCAGGTGACATCAATCTCCTCACTAAATTTAGGAAGAAAATCATTGTGTCACGTTACATGGTCTCGTGTGATGCCATGGTGTTTTGTAACACCATAGTGTCACGTGAAATGACGTCACAACATTCCCTGCTATACTTGAATAGAAAGCACAACTCATTAAAGACTTCATCAAGTGCCATCGCATCTTCGTTGCATTAATGAAATGTTAAATGATTATGCAGTGATTTTTGTACGCTTCATGGTATGTTTTCAGAGTACAAAGCCTCGGCATCTTACGAAGTCACCGAGAGGTGCACCCCCACTGAACAGGGCCCGTCTATTAGCGACAACGAGATCGGTGAAGACGTCGTCACATTCCAGTGATCTGCGCGGAGATTTTCCGTAGATCTTGCCAGCCAAAGACTGGCAGACCAAACATTCTGTGGGATCTTGCAATGGTTTCAGTCGTTTTGTGCCTTCATGTTTTCTTCCATCTCGTCCTTTCCTGTGCCATCAATAAATTGTGAATCGCATTTTTATCAAATAGTTCTATAGACTAGGAATACGAGCCCAAAATCTCAAAGTGAGTTCTTGGGTTGCCGAAAAACGAAGGCCATGTGGTCGACTAAGCAATAACAATGTTGGCATAAAAACAAGTTTCCAAATCAACTATATAAAAATAGCTTGTGTACACAATGCTATTTGCGACTCCAATTCACTATAGGTGGTGCTACTCGTTTTCCAAAATGTTTAGTGAGGGTCGGAGATGCGCGCCGCTGCTGAGCCTGTCTACTTTGCTGGCTTCACTGAGCGACACACGAGGAACCTAGGGTGTTATGGGCGCAGGTCACCTCTTTATCCTGAAAACAACAAAGGTATTTAGCGTAATATTTACGCTAGGAGGCACGATTCTGGAGCGAAACCGAAAGCAACCTCTATTTTGGATTTAATTTCTCAATATAGGTCTTAATTTCAGATTCTTTAATGATTCAATATGTGTCTCACACCGCAATTAATCAGTTAAAGAAGTAGTTTGCGGAAACTTTTGTCCCTTTAAAAGAGCGTCTTTCATACACCTTAGAGGTAACATAGAATATTATTATATGTTGCAAAAATCTGTCCTGATATTTGTGCGTTCTTGCTGCCTTTTCTCTCAGGTATTGTCATGTGAAATAATGAACTTCAATGGGTTTTTGGGTATTTAGGTGATTACTTGCTTTAAGATTTTACCCAGCACAAGAATAGCACAATAAATCCAATTTATACAATATGTTAACAAAACATATAAATTAATAAACTCTGTTCTCACATTGACATCTTAATACATACCTAGAAAATGCGCACAAAAGCGTGGTGAAGGAGACGGGTCCAAATATAGGCCCCAAGGCCATGTGTGTTGATAGTCTCACGGAAGACCAGAGGTCACCGTTCGCTCAGCAGTCCTGGAGACAAATTCCTTGATGATGTCGTCCAGGTCGAGCCGGTAAAAGCTGCGCAGAGTCGGGCCAGATCAAAATCGCACGCACTCCTAGGGCCTCTTTCAGATCATCTGTTGTGAACTGCCTTCCCCCGGCGGCGTTATTCAAGGTGCTCTCTTGTAGCTGCTTCCTGTAAGGCTGTTCAAACCGCCGTCGAGTTTCGCTCAGAATGCAGTCAACAGCCGCCGAGTACTCCTTCCGTAACGCTGCGTTGCAGTAAAGTAGAACTGGCGGAGAAGGTTTGTTGCTCATTTCAAACCTTTTTGGCAGTTGGCCTTGCGCTGCGAGGGTCCTTTAAACCTATTCACATTGCAGTTGAGCTCGTGCAGTCCTACAGCTCTTCAAACGCGACTTCAGATCGCAGGCGGGGCATTGCCTCGCAGAGAGTCTCTGCAGTCTCCTATACACCAACTCATGTTTACAAACAAACCGGAGCGCCCCTAGCGGACGCCACCGGCGCCGCGCTTGCGCGGTGGATGGTGGGCAAGAAGCTCGCCGTCGCCCATAAACAAACCATTGAATTGCGTTGTTGTCGGCGTCGGCGGGAGTCCCCGTGCTCTTTTTCGCGTTGGAATTGTTGATTCTACGTCCTCCTAACAATGTCCGACTACTTGAGCGGCTTCAGCAAAACTATCGGGGCAAAACTTTGCGTGAATAATGTGACGTGCGGCGATTCATTTCACGTGGACGCCGCAGAATGGGCGCTAAAGCCTGACTCCCACGATGAGATTCTGCTCGCTATTTACCGTCGCGACGTCTCTCGGACTGCAAAAGCGTGGACCGTAGCTGAGATGGTGGACATCGATACTAAAAAACCGCAAGTAGAATCGGGCATTACAAGTCGGTGATGGCCACTGGTAACAATGATCAACATCTTCTTGTCTCTGTTTACACTTAGCCTACTTACCCCAACCAACCTTCAAAAGTGTTTTGAGGCCTGCACTTAGTTCTTATCGCAATTACCGGGTCAACGTTTGGTTTACGGGCCGCTGTCGTTTGAACGAACTGACGACAAAAAGCAGCCAAGTTTGAAAGAGCAGACGACAGTTCGAACGCACGCGCAATGGAGTACGGGCAAGAAGCACCGCGTCCCATGTAAACAAACCATTCGAATGTCACGTTGTCGGCGTCTGTGTGAGTCTGCATACTCTTTTTCGCGTTGGAGTCGTCGATTCTACGTCCTCATCGCAATGTCTTACCACTTCAATCGCCCGAGCGAAATTATAAAGGCTCGTTACGCCGCTAAACTTTCCGTAAATAATTTGACGTGCGGCGATTCATTCGCATGAACGCTGCAGAATGGACGCCAAAACCATGATGAGATTCTTGTAGCTATTTTCGGTCGCGACGTCGCTCGTGCTGCAAAAGTGCAAAAAGGTAGCGGCGATGATCGACGTCGATACTGAAAATCGGAAGCGGGAACAGACCAAGCGTAACAAGTAGGTGATGGCCACCGGTACTAATAATTAACATCTTGTATCTACTGTTTACCCCGAGCCTACTTAAGTCTTTTGAGGCCCGCAATTACTTCTTATTGCAATCACCGGGTCAAAGTTTGGTCTACGGGCCGCTTTTGTTTGAACGAGCAGAAGACAAAAAGCAGACAACTTTGAATGGGCAGACGAAAGTTCGAACGATCAGGCGGCCGTGTGAATTTGAAGACGCACTGAATCCGTGGGTAGTCCGGACAACTTGGGGATTTTCTCTCGTTCATGTTGGAACAAAGTAAATACATCTGGTGACCACAAATTGTGGCCCGCACACGCAATCGTAGTTCGACAGCGTCTGGTTTGCCCTTTTCACGGCTGCTATCCACGTTCTCGGACGAACGGAGGGTGCAGAAACACATGAAAACTGATCTTCAAACCTTTCCAGATTCTCTTGGTAAAGGCCCCATCGCAGCATTTTGACGAGAAGGCAAGTTTTTTGTCTCGTTTCTTCCAAGGGAACACAGGAATGCATGTCTCGCACGGCGACTTCTGCCCACCGCCCCAGACCGGAAGTGCGTCCGGCGCGCCACCACCGCGGCGTGACGTAGGAGAGTTGAGTTGGTGTATATCTGCGGCGTGAAACGTTGCAGTAGCCTTGCAAGTTCTTTGCATAGACTGAACAAAGCTATAGAAATGTTTATTCCTAGCAGCATTTCAAACCTTTCCAAAAGCCTCTCATAACCCTTCAAAATGGCCCTGCTGTTCGCAATCGAATATTCTCCTTGTAGCAGCTCGTTCAGTGTCTCCTGAACTCTAGCATAGCTTTCAGCGAACCTTTTCATTGACTTCACTCTGACAGTCTACCTTGTTGAGCAAAGCAGAAGGTTATTGGGCGTTGATCTGGCCTCTTCCGCTGCCTCGCTGACTGGAGGAATTACATTAGATGAGGAAATAGCTTGGCAGTTATTCGAAGTCTGAGTGGGCGGGCTCAGCCTTATCCTGAGAAATCTTGGGGGGGCCTGGCCCCCCCAGCCCTCCGGTTCCGGAGTCCCTGAAGGCAAAAACCCAAAGATGGAATCTGAGGGGTTTACTACCGTTGATAGAAAGCCTTTTCACCGAAACTCGTTTTAGAGAAAGGGCACGGTTTGTCGAAGCACAATTTAGAGAAAAGGGGGCCTCAGTTTAGAGAATCGCGGTTTATGGAAAAGAGTCGAAAAGGCGACTCTGTTTAGCGAATCATTGGCTAAACACAGAATCCAATCTGACAGAATCCACTCGGCGGTTTGGCCGTTTGGCCGCGTGCGCAGCGTGCAGTCGTGCGTGGTTGCGTTGGTTGCGTGGTTGGCGTGGTTACGGACGGCTTATTCGGGCGGTGTTGCAGAGCGGTGTGGTCATGTGGTCTTGATAGGCAGTTAAAGGTCTATATAAAAAGCAAGCATCTAGCCAAGGCGGGGTGTGGTGGAGGTGGTGTTGTGTGCATGATGTGCGTGCTCGTAGCGCGGCCAGCGCAGCTTTTAGTTCAACAGCGGTAGGCCACAGCGAGTTACCAGCTACACTGTGACGCTCCTTGTGCGGTGTTGCGATTGACATGGTTCCTCGTGGTGAGCTGCCAGCGACTTCGTAGGTCCGTCAGAGTGTTGGAAATTTTGGCTGTTCGACTGATAGTCGACGCGCAAAAGTGACGTTGAAATGACGTCGGCAACGGAACTACGGACAACTACTGCTACTGCCTGGCTGCCGACGAGGCTCCTTGTTCGTAAAGGGTAAAAAAAGTGTTGTTTTTTTTTCGGCGTTTTAAAGGACGGCCGCAAAAGGGGTTTGCCATGTGAAAAGAGCCCGGTAGTGGGGTTTCAGTAACGTTTCTTTTTATTTGCAGCTGCTATTTTTTTACTTCATGTTGCAAAGCAAACAAAGTAAGTAAACGTAGTGCAGCAGTTCCCACCTCTGACAGCTGCCACGAGCTAGAGCATTCAGACGGCTAGTGCTGCCTGGTAGCTGTAATAATCGCACTGAAATAGTCTCATATTTACACTTGTCTCTTCACACTGTTGCAAGAACATGTGCTGATTGCAAATGTTTCACACATTTGCACGTTTCCCGCAATCATGGCAAAAGCAGTAACAGACTAAACATGCTTTACACGTGACGTCACTCTAGGGAAGGATGGGGCCCCGCACCATGCTGGCGGTTGGTTTCACACTGCACGGACGGGCTTAGCAAGGCGTAGGATGCCACTAACTGCCCGAACATGCGCTGACATGTGCACCATATTTTCAACAAAGGTACCTAGTTTTTACATGTGAACTTGGAAAAAAGTGCTGAGCTGACAATGATAATGTTCAGCCAATATGTGCGGAATGTTTTGGCGTCGGTGCAATTGCACCGCACAGAAAGTTTTGATATGGCGACAATGAAGTTTTGACGTGAAGGGCTATTGTGTCGGCAAAAAAAGCTTCATTGTGTGCCCCAAAATGTGCCGAGTGGCTCTAAAAGCCGCTTGTAGTAAAATTGTTATGATTTTGTAAAGTGCTGGTAAACAAAGCAAGGTTACTGTCATAATCTAAACCTCAAGCAATAAGATAACGGACAAGACCGCTTTTCTTGTCTCGGGATTTGGATTATGATGTTTTCTAACCAGCTCGCTTGCATACTTCCGCTCCTTGTAAAGGTTACTGTGTCGCGGACAGCACAAGCCAATGCCCCGGCGGCAGTGTCTCGGCGAGCGTCCACATGGGGGACGCCGCCGACTGACGACCGTCTTGCGGGGCTGGTGGTGGTATATGCGCTCGCAGTGCAACACTCTCGCTCGTGCAGAACAGGGAGCCCCGAAGGTTCTCTCAAAGCACAAAAAATGGCATAATAAAACGAAAGGCAATGGGCATGTACATCATGAATGGGCAAAGCTGATGCAAGTGCGTGCGGAAGTGTAAACAACGGTAAAAAAGTATCTTCCCTCGCTGCTATAAAATGCGTCCTGCAAACTCAGTATTGCGCAGCCGCATCCCTTCCCTGCCAATGTAGAAGAACTTGTAGTGTGGCTAGTTGATGAATGTTATGAAGCATGGTGTAACGTGCAAAAAATAATGAACACTAGGAAGAAGACATCCACAGAGGTGTCTTTGTGTGTGTCTGCCTTGTGTTCATTGTTCTTTGTAATTTACGTCATGCTTCATAACTTCCCTGTTACTCATACTTTCTCTAACTTGACGGCTACTCTGTTGCGAGGCGTGCCGACGAAAATATCATTGGGATATGTACCAATAGACGATTTGCTATTTTCCCATGCACCCCGGCCCGCGTGCGAGGAATTCTGGGAGAGACTGTTCTCGCCTGGCCGCTCTGCCTGGAGATCACATTGCCTTGTCGCTTGCATCCACTTAATCCTTTGTTTTTCGAGTTCATTACCTATTTTTATCTATTCCAGTGTATTTTTTATTGCTTCTAGGTGTTTCTATTCTCTTCTGCACGCAATATTTCTTGTATATATATAGTATTGGTGCCTTTATTTTGCCTTTTTCGACGGGAGTTCCGACGGACAACACGTTGCATTGCGTGTCGTTCCCCAAGTGAGTATTACCGTTGCTACCAATTCCTATAGCGCTGTTAGCTGTTCATTTTGGTTCAATATGACCAGCGTACAGTAGAGAGGAGCCGTTTATGAATACCCGCGCACATGTCATAGGGGTATTCAGAGCTCTGAATCAACAATCGCGACGCGAGAGTCGAGTGCGCTGTGATTTTGCTGCCCGCGCCCGCTCCGTTAACTCGCACTCTAGCGTATGCCTTCGAGTGCTGCTTACTTGACGAAGATACAGCACGCCGCTTTGTCGCCGCAAATCATTTCTCCGAATGCCTGCGAAACCGTAACACCGTTTTGCATATCCAACGCTGCGGCGCCTGACAACTGCTTGCAGCGGCGCGCAGTTGTCAACACTTGAAAAAGGGTGTTTGCAACTGACAACCGCGTAGCATAGTGGTTCTCAAATGAGGGTCCCCGAAGGCATTCTAAGGGTCCTCGAAGCCCAGCCTCATCAGTCGAGCCCGGAAATAAAACTTGTCTTTTCTCAGATTTAGAAGAAACATTCCAATTTTCGGGTGCGTTTTCTCGTGTATATGTCAATAAGTGAAGTTTACTTCACACAGTCATAATTAACCTATACTTTCCCTTCTCATCACAAACAGGGTCCTCCATCACCTCGGCCGATCCACGAGGGGTCCGCGAAACATCAACGGTTGAGAACCACTGGCATAGCAGATAGATTAAAAAGGCATACCATAAGCACATACAAGCCGCGACGTTGGGCCACCGGCGCTTGCACCGCAGCGTCGCGTATGCCTCAGCTTCGCAAACATTCGGACGAATGATTCGCGGCAACAAAGCGGCGTGCTGTATGTTGGTCAAGTAAGCGGCACTCGAAGGCTTACGCTACAGTGCGAATCAACGGAGCGAGCGCGGGCAGCCAAATCACAGCGCACTTGGCTCTCGCGTTGTGATTGTTGCTTCAGAGCTCTGCCTATCCCTATGACATGTGTGCGGGTATTCATAAACGGCTCCTCTCGACTGCACGTGGTCAAATCAAACCAAAATGGACAGCTAACAGCGCGATAGGAATCGGTAGCAACGTTAGTACTCACCCAGGGAATGACGCGCGAAGCGGCGTATTGTCCTGTCGACACTACCATAAAAAAAGGCAAAATAAAGGCACAAATACTATATATATATATATACAAGGGATATCGTGCGCAGTAGAGAATAGAAACACTTAGAAGCAATAAAAAATACACTGGAATAGATAAAAATTGGTAATGGAATCGAAACACAGAGGATTAAGAGGGGGCAAGCGACAAGGCTATGCGATCTCAAGGCAGAGCGGCCAGGCGAGAAACAGTCTCTTCCACAATTTCTCGCGTGCAGGCCAGGGCGCTTGGGGGATTTTGCAAAAGGCCTATTGCTACAACCGAGCGCTGTGCAGTTTACCATGGCTCTCGCTGCGAATGGCTGTCGATTCGACCGACCCAACCACCAGCATGGTGGTTGGTGTTCGACATCATCATCTGTAGTAGGCGCAAGGCATGTATTATTTGTGCACGTGTCATCAGCTGGTTGGAGACAGTGTCGCCAAACGAAAGCTGTCATTTTTTGAAAGGAATGCACTTGCACAGCTTTATTCGTCTCTCAAGGCTCATATTCCTGTATCTTTGACAGGATTTAATGTCCTCATACCTTGGAACAGTTTAGTTGGAGTTGTCAACATAGATAGGTCAAAGTTGCATACAACATGCTTTGTTCTTCTTTATTACTTGAGGTGGTGAGCAACGCCCTTGAGGAAGTTATGAACGGTCATCATCAGGCGCTGTTCCACCAACTTGAGGAGGGCTTCTTCCCGCTTCTGGTGGGCTCTGCCTGGTGGCGGGGGTGCCTGACCTCGAAGAAGGGCCTCTGCTACCAGCTCTGTTTCCTTCTGCTCTCGGCGGAGAGCATCGACGAGCTTGAAAACGCCGGGGTGGCTTACCCCCACCACGCTCTTGAAGCGACGGTGCCAGGCCTCCACGTGATTGGTATTGCGTGGCTGGCCGGCGTCAACGAGGTCCGCCACTGACCACACCTAGGGCGGAAAGAGCGGCAGCATCCGCATGTGCACGGGACCCAGGGTTTGCAGCTTCCCAAGGATGAAGTTCTTCTCAAGGTGCTTGAGTACCTTCATGGTTTCGGGGGGCATCAGTGGTCTGATAGCTTCGTAGGCCTGCAAGCAATTGGTAAAGTAGCGATTATAACCTCTATGAATTCGACTACGCAGGTTCTGATGCTTTGGACATAGTTTGCTGAATACCCCTTCTGTTTTCAATATCGATTTACTCACAATAAGAGGTCTGTTTACTATTGTCTTTCACTTTTTGCTGACTAGATTTTATAGGTCTTGCCTTAAACCTTTGATGCAAAAAATAAATAACTGCCTGTAGTTGAGCTTGTTGATGCATAATACATAAAAATAATACTAAGTTCAGCTGGCCTTTTTTAGTATTAGCAAAAAATAATTTAAGAAAACAACTTAAATTCAGGACATAAATATCTAAATATGCATTTTCCACAAAAAAAACAAAAACAAAAAAACATTCTCATTTATTTGTAACGCCGAATTGGATTGCAGCTCTTGAGGAGGAGGAGGGGAGGGTACTGAGGAAAGGGTATACCCCTCCTCATCCTGCATGCTACTCCTCCCTCCAAGTGGTGTCAGCTTCGATGTCAGCGTAACTGTGAGGTCACGTGACCCTCGTGACGTCGTGTCACCCCCGTGACGTCACGTGACCCCGCGAGGACGTTTCAGCACGGTGCTGAAACGTTGCCGCAATTACGCTGACGGCGATGCCGACACCGCTCAAGTTGTAAACGGGCACCCAAGAGCTGCGCTATTTATGACACAGGGCTCATTTTAGAGTGCAGAGCAATGGTCCCTAAATAGCCACCATTGTAGCTCGTCCTTGCCCCGTGTACAGCCCTGCAGAAAAAACTAGAGGAAAGAATCGCTCATTTTAATGGCATCTTGTGTTGTGAATTTTTCTTTAATTTAATTCTTTTTTTATGAAAAATGCATCTTGTAACCTGCATGTCCTATCCAGGATGTTTAAAAAAAAAGTTTTCTTTTTTTGTTTAGGTGCTTTTCTCCGATTAGTCAATTTCTTCAAAGCTTGGTAGGCAGTTTCCACCCTCCCTCTCTCCCATTCCTCCCTCTCCCAAGCACCTTGGCAAAATGGCCAATACCTTCCAGATCAGGAGTTGACAAACGTTTTTAGCAGTGGTCTGAGCCGGAGGCGTTGGAGAAGTATGGGGGGGGGGGGGGGGGGGGGGGGGGGGGGGGTGCATGCATGCGTATGTGCGTGGCATAGAAAGAAGATTAAATAAATGGTTTCTATCAAGATACACATGACTTTATCAAGATACAATAAAGAATTTGTCACATGAATGCATGCACCTGCATTCAAGCTGCTAACTTTAAGTCATGAAAAGTTATTGGACCGAGCTTCCTTCCGAGTTGCAAACCTGGTGGTTCTGAGAGCTTTAGGCATTATAAATAGTCCATGTAAGGTCAAAGCCGTTGAACTGTCCTGGAGATTGTATGCATGTGGGAGGCGAGGGGGCATCTCTAATATCGTGCAGGGGTCTGGACGAAACTGCCTTGCAGGCCAGATCCGGCCCGCTGGTTGCCGACCCCTTATCTAGACAACAAGGCCACAATGCTAAATGTTCTATGTCGCCTAATAAAGGCTCTAGGTCTTCCAAATCTTACTCAATTGGATTCGAGTTACTTCAGGAGGTCATGTCATGTGACAACACTGAGAGAGCAACGTTGGTTTTCAAACACCAGGATACAAGACCTTTACTTTAAAAGATAGTCAGAGTGCATCATGTATGTAGCACCCCTTTGGACGCTTCTGCTGCCTTGTTTTGTGAAATCTATATGTCAGTGCAGCATCACTTCAAAGCTGACACAGAAAAATAAGTTTCACTCAATCTTTTAAGTCGCTGCAAAAGAACAAGCATCGTTGGTGGGCTCCTTGAGTGGTGCAATAATCTACAATCAGCACAACAGCGACAGTGTGTGCAGCACAATGGAGACTCCAGATGAGTGGGGTCAATTCAACACCTACCAAACAACAGGGCTGCAGTGTTCAACACGTCACCTAGGCTGCGTTCAAAAAGTTAGGTCAAAGAAGTTTTCGAACACAGTTTAGGTGACATGTTGAATACTGCAGCCGTGTTGTTTGGTAGGTGTTGAATTGACCCCACTCATGTGGAGTCTCCATTGTGCTGCACACATGGTTGCTGTTGCACTGATTGTAGAATATTATGCCACTTAAGGAGCCCACCAACAATGCTTCTTTTGCAGCAACTTGAAAGATTGAGTGAAACTTATTTTTCTGTGTCAGCCACACCAAAATGGTGCTGAACTGAAATATAGATTTAACAAAACAAGGCAGCAAAAGTGTCCGAACAGATGCTACGTACTCCATACTCCGAACATTGCTCATAGAGCAATATATCTTGAGCAGATTACCATATTTTTGGCAAGAGAAGGGTGCGATTAAATGAGGCTCGTGATGTCACAGTCCTTGCTTCCTCTCCTCTTCGCTTTGCCTCCTTGCCTTGGTACGGCCTCTGTTCCAGCACATGTAGTAAGAAGGCAAACCAAACAAGACAGGAAGTGAGGACCACGACGTCGCATGCCTCTTTCAGTGGTGCCTTTGTTTTTTTCCAAAAATATGGCCCTCTGTTGGAGATATTGCTGAATAAGTGACATTTTGGTGTTTGTAGCATCCTGCCTAGCGCTCCAGCCTTGTTTTGAGAAATCCCAACATCACTTCAGCGTCTTACTAAGGAAACAGGACAGAACCCTCCGATCCTCTTAAAGTTATATCCTTTGAAATGCACAAATATATCAGAAAAGTTTGCTTATTTCCAGGGAACACAGACTTCTACTGTAAAATACCATGCAAGCACCCACTAAAACTTGGGAGTTAATCGTGATCAAATTGAGGATGGGCACTTGTCAGGTCATCAATTTTACATATAAATGTACTGTGCATATCTCCTCAGATCTTACAAGTTTGGGAATGGGCATTTAGTGTGGAATGGGCAAGTATGCGGTATTCTACAGTAGGTATAGTCAGACCATAGCTGGATTAATGGGTAAAGGTTGTGCCCTTTCTAAAGGGGCACTAAAGAGGTTTTTGAGATTGTCTATTTATGGTGATAACTCATTATATGTGATGTAAACATTTAAAAATTACAACCATGTACAGCCTATTTCCTATTAAGAGTGTGGTCAAAGTTTTCAACATGCGTCTTTTTCTGGGAAATTTTGCAGAAACCCAGGGGCACAGCCACCGCATCTGAGCAGTGACGAAGGTGCTTGTCAGCCAACAACAAGCAACTGCTACCCCTGCGGATTGATCTGAGCAGGAAGTCAATGCATGTGTGGTTTGAACCGTGCACACACTGCGTCTGCAATTTCTATTTGGTAAGCTGCATGATCTTTCATTTCTGGGAAGCAGATGAGCAAACACATCCCTCCCCCAGAAAAAGGAAAGGAGAAAACCTAATAATTGAAAACGAGCGTGTTGCATGGTGAATAGATATGAATACTTGAAAGCATAAAACATGGAAGACGAAGACATGACCTTTTTCAATGAAAGAAGTCTTGTTTCCATGCTCATCTTTCCTTGTCTTATGCAAGTATTCATAGAAAACCTAATTTGCATGTATTTCTATCGTCATGTGAGCATTTTTGTCATCTGAAACTTAGAATAAATATTAACTGGCACCTACTGCTTTGTATAACAACAAAAACAAGCGTCTTCAAAGACATCTTTAGTGCACCTTTATGGGCGATTGCTCTGTCCCCTTAGCATACAACATAACTAGGCTGTATACTTTCCGGTTTTAACCGAAAAACACCAATAAACATCCGCCGGTGTCGAAAATACAAAATCGGTTAGAACCGAAAAACACCAACAAACATCCGCCGGTGTCGAAAATACAAAATCAACTAAAACCGAAAAAAAAGAATATATATATATATATATTTTTGATTAAGCGCTGGTTTTTTTTTGTTTTGTTTTGTTTTGTTTCTTTTTTCACCGAAAAAGTCCTGCATACTTCCCAGTTTTAACCGAAAAATACAAATAAATACTTGCCGGCGACGGAAATAAAAATAGTTCAAAACAAAAAAACACCGGTTTCTAAACAATTTTTTCCTAGCAATGTGTTTTTTTTTCTTTTTCACAGAAAAGGTTTTACACAAACTTCCGTCAAACACATTATGATTTATGTTACCCAGAATCATGCACTTTGCCTGTCTTTCTTTTGTGACCTACGTGGTCTTGGACTCTTGGAGGACACTAGCTTTGTTCCACTGTTCTTCACTATCAGTGGCCCAAGAGCCCAGTCACAGCTGACCAGTACTGTCCCAAGCCTCGTGGGACGTTTTAAGACTTCCTGTGTCCACCGCAAATGTTGGGTGGGTATTCTCAAAATTGTGCATCGCCAACAGGAAAGTGCGGGTGTCAGTGACAGACACAAGCCTAGGAATGTATGCATGCATATACTAAAATAATGAAGTGTGAAAGAGGTTGTGTAAAAGATCTGAATAAAATTTTGACTGTTTTTTTGTCTTCAGCGGTGGTTAACCACCGCTGAAGACGCTAAAAACGGTGATTATCGGAAGGGGAAGGAAAGGGGGGGGGGGATTGCGAATGTAAACTTACATTCGCAATCCCTTCTCCCCCCCTATAATCACAGTTTTTAGCGTCTGCACAAGAGAATTCACCGAAAAGCACCGGTATTGAGGAAATAAATAAATACCGATAAACATCCGCCAATTTTTGTCATAAACACCGAAAAGTATGCACCCTAAACATAACAGTAGAATTATACGTGCTCACCTCCTTTTTTTTTCTCACTTAATTTTTAACTTTAATTAGTGTAACCAGTGTGCTGCAGTAGAAGCTATATTGAAGTCCTCATTCAATGAAGTAAAAGAGGTTTAATTCTGCCAGTCCTCTAGCAGCCTCCATCAGCATCGAAGCTGTTGTATCAATCGAAGGAGCTCTGAAGTACTTCCGATTACATTTGTAAGCAGCGCCTCTGTTTGTTTCCTTTCTTGTGTTTGTTGTTTTTAGCAGTTTCCACCATGGTACTTAGCATTCACCAACTAGCCCATCAACAAGTTATTTCACAGCGTCCACGTCTCCATACCATCGTCTTGTCTGCACACATCATGCACAATTGAGCAGGACATGAACTCTATCAAGCAAGCAGTAACTAGTTGGGAGAGCCAATGTTGTCTGAAATTCACTCTTGTAATCCCGCCACTAGTAGGCGGACATGAAGAATATACAGTACCCTGTAAGTAATTTAAAACAGCAGAATAATCTGTATATATATTTACAACAAGCTCCACTATCAACCGTTACTCAGAATAATCTGCACATGTACCGTATATGTACTTAGCCCAGTTGGGGCTTTGAAGGACAGCCCACATAAGATACCTGCTATTCCAGTAGCCGGACAGTGCTCAACTCATATTGTTTATAAGAAGATGATGTGTAGACAAAATACCATAGATCAGGGGTTCTCAAACTTTTTGGTCTCACGGAGCCCCAGGAAGCCTCAAAAACTGCCGTGGAACCCTCCCCCCCCCCCCCCCCCCATATTTGCCGACTGAGATGCAACACATGCACAATTGTAGGCAATTTTTGCTTGTTTTGCTTCCCATATATCCTCACACCATATCAATCGCAATGTCAGTACAAAGTGAGATGAAGGCGCTTTGCATGGTCCTTCCGCGCAGCCTGCGGCGTGGGGGGGAGGGGTTGCAATTTGGGTGTTCATGGAACCCATGAGACCAGCTCGTGGAACCCCTGTGTCCCCCAAAACCCAGTTTGAGAACCCCTGCCATTGATGACACTGCCAATAGACTCCTTTTTAAATGTGCTCTCCGTTCCTGTCCATCTGTTAGAATAAGTGTCATTGTCATTGACTTTGCATCATTGTAGTGTTTGTCTGGTTGTGTACTGTTGATGAGGGACCCTCTGGTTCTCTAAAGTGTGCAGCGAGTGGTTTCACACTCTTATGTACAACCACCTGTTGAAAGAAGAAATATTGTTACACGAGAGCAAAATAGCTCCTTCTAGCTGAAATGGAGAGCTCAGAAAAAAGCCAAGAGAACAGTGCAAGCTCAAAGAGAAGGCAGTTAACAGAATGCAGAGGGAGGAAGAAATTTGGAACAGTAAAAAAAAAAAAGGGGGGGGGGGGTGATGGTTTAGAGTATGAAAGTGGTGGAGCGGTAGCAGGACTGAGAGATATTTTTCTTTGTGAACCGCCCAAAACTGTGTAAAGGGAAATACCTGGGTAATTGAAGAATTTATCATGAGTTAAGAGATACTTGGGAACTGGGTCAAAAGCTTGCAGAAGGCATATGAAAGAACAAACTATGTTTTGGGGATGGAATGGGACGAGTTTCTTACGGAGATGGTATAAGTTTGGATACATGGTTTTGCGCAAAAAATTGTATAAGTTCTTCTATGAGATTTTGTAAGTGTTTTATTGAAATTAAAAAAAAAAAAAAGTTTAATCTTATGTCTGCACTGTACAAAGAGGCTGTGCTACATAGGAAGCCACTTAATAATAATTATTGTGGGGAAGAAAAATACAAAAATAAAAATAAGCTGCAGTCATTCTCTAGTAGTTTACAACTTTGCTTACATTATACTGAGTGCTTGCCTGCAGGACAATACTTACCGCCCGTATCTGGTGGTCTGGAAGGAAGGCCAGCGCAAAGAGCATCCTCATTTTCAAGCTGAAGTCTGGGTCCTCAGCGTACCTGGTCTGCAGCTGGGCCTTTTGCATCTTCCGGTAAAGGCACTGAGTGAAGTGGAACAAGCACCCCTTCAGGACAGTGGCTGGGAAAGTTCGGCGGATGGCATTCATTGCTGCCATCTCAAAATCCACTATGAGAAATGGTGGGCTGAGCATTTGTCCAGCATTCGTCGCAAGTGTCTTCAGTGTCTGAAAAAGATTTAAGATTTTCAACTGTTACTATAGACTCCTCAAATATTTGTGACTTGGCACCCTGCTTTTAACTTAAAGCCAAAGAATATATCCTTGGATTCAGTGAACATTGCTACATTAACTTAAAGGAGCTGTGCAACAATTTCAGGGCTTTGCTTAATTAATTGTGGAAGTTGATGTCTGACACTTCTGAAGTGAACTACAGAAAACAGATTTTGCATATATACCCTAGTTTTTATCTTAAAAACTGAAAAAGATCCAGATTTTTGCCGCCTCTCAACTCTTACATCGTCTTCCGGGTCACGTGCGCAGTGACGTTGATGGAATAGGCACGGGGTTCTGGTAAAGTTCTCTCTTTAGAGCCATCACTGAGCAGCGAGAACTCATCCGCTCGCGACCGCGTGACCACGTGCTGGCGGACGCCGCGCAAACAATATGGTGAAAGGAGGAAAGTCTCATCCGGGTCCAGCCACACTCGTCCAGCCCTGTCCCCCTCCTCCTCCGGCTTCTGGCGGCTGTTCGCGGAAGCAGATAGAGCCGACTGTTTTGTGGACCTAGGATAGATGGCGTCACTAAAACTCCGTATAATAAAAGTTTTGTCAATGATACGAGGTTTTTGACGCATTTATATTTATGTTGGAACGACAAGATTTATAGAAAAGTTACCTTTTATCGAGCAGGTATTTGCACAACTTACTATCTTTCTACAAGATTCCCCATTGACGTCATACCGCATGTTTCTCATGGGCGCCGCTCGCGGCTGCAGGTCGGGGAATATTCTAACTTATGCCTCGCTATTACGCGGCGGAATCGCAACATTTCAATGAAAGGAGGTGTGTTTTTGTCATTTGGGACAAGGTGAACAATATCAAAAGCAGAAGTTGCAAATTCTTTCAATGTTAAAATCATTGCACAGCTCCTTTAAGTGGGTTTTCTAATTGGGACATCTCTGAAGTAAGAACTGGACACATATTTTAGTGATAAGAGTTTAGTTCTTGTGTGTCCTCATTTATCCATTCAGCCATTATCTTAAATGACGGGAAGGTTTTAGTTTTTGTTGCTGACTTTACATCGTCTTTCTGTTTTTTTTTATCTAGCACAGCAATCCATTTGTTTTAATTATAATCCAATAATGGTGTGTATTTGTGCCTAGTTCACCATATTTTGCCTTTGCTTCTGCTGAAAATGTTTTGTTTGAACCTCCTTACATTCTTTTAATGAAGTGCCAAAGTCAAGGTTGACATAGTACTAGATAAATGCCTCAAAACTTTAGCATGTCCAATGGCCAGCAACCTTATTCAGAACACACGAACTGTGACTTGTCTCGTGAAAGCGCCCTCCTGGCAGCACCTAAAAAAAAAAAAAAAAATGGCTCCATGACGTGGTGGGCAATGAAACAACCCGCTTGCTCAAGGCCGGCTTTGCAACTGGACCGGCAACAGCGCAACAACTTTTTCGGCGAGGCGTCTACTCTTAACACGATCCTGTCAATACTGCCTGCCGTGTTCAGTGTTTGCCGATGCCCTGTTCTTCAGACGCCGCTGCAACCTTACCCCTCTAAGCCTTGAGCAAGCGGCCTCCTCTACTTAGGTTGTTCCCTTGCCTACCACGTCATAGAGCAGTTTTTTTGTTTTTTTTTGGATGCCACCAGGAAAGCTCTTTCACAAGATAACCCACGGTTCACGTGTTCCAAACAAGTTTGCTGACCACTGTACACACACTGTGTGACACTGTTCATGACATCTGCTCTTCTTTGCGTTTTACTTGTGCATAGTTGATAAGCATCAAATTTTGCTTCTGGTGTTGGAGCTCCGAATGAGAACTTTCCTCCACTCTAGAGTTTGCAGCTGTTCGATTATAAGGGAAAACATTTAAAAAATCTTGTGGATTGCTAGCTCATGCTAACTGTGTCGTGTAGTATACATCAACAAGACTGGAAAAAGACTTGGTATGTAGCCTTGCCATATCAACATTAGCCACCATGACCTAAGCTATTTAATGTACTCTGATTAGCACTGGTGTTACATATCACAGTTTAAGAAGCCCTGTCTTTAAAAGAAGTTTATAGATGTAGCATACCAAACACTGGCTATTGTATCATAAAATTGTGTTCATAAGCATGTCTACAATTTAGTTTCCCTTAAAGGGGTACTCCGCCGATTTCTTCATGGTCCCTGATTTGCTTGAAATTTTGCTAAACTCGCCAAACAACATCGCCAAAATAGTATCCCAAATATTAGGTCAAAAAAAATTTTTTTTTTCACGAAGTTATTGAATTTACAATTTTGCTCCTCACCGTGTTTTTCAAACTGAAAGTCTCTACTGGCAACATTGAAAAAGTGACGTCATTGGAAGTGCAGGGGTTCACTCTTTGGATTGTAGAATTTGTTCCCAACTGATTCGAAGCAGTTTCATGGTGTCAAATGAATGCTTTGGAAGCTCGCTCCAGTCCCCGCGCTCCAGCACGGAACAAATGATTGGCCTATTCTATTTTTTAGACTGCTCGCCCGACTGGCAAGCTAACCTTCCAGTGACGTCACGGCCCTGAAAAGGGCGGGTATATTTGAATGTTTGTTTTTGCATCATTTTCATTTGCCGATTTCGCAATAACTATTATGAATTTCACGATACTAAATAGCATACCAGAAAGGGCAAAGGCCGGGGAGTCAGAAAATATAGTTAGTTGAGGTAGCTCAAAAATCGGCGGAGTACCCCTTTAAGACTTCCAGCTTGTATCATTAGGGCAGAAACGTTAACAGGAACCAACCTCAAACACGTGCACGTAGGACTCCTCAGTCCTGCTTGTGGCGAGGATGTACACAAGGGGCAGCATTTTCTGCGCACTGGCCGCGAGGCCACACCAGCCGTGGAGGGTGTACAGTTGTGTGTATATCTTCGGTGTTACAAAGAATGTTCCATCACCGAGCACAGTTGTGCTGTCGCACAGGAGCTTCATGTTGTTTGCTGTGCCGAAGATGAGGAAGTGTGTCCCCAGCGCCGACCCTTGATACAGCAGGAAGTCCTGGCCATCCAGGGTCTGGTTGTAGGGGCTCACAATGTCCACATCCTCGGCACAGGTCGGTTCAGCAGGACGCGTGGCATTTCGGGCCCTCCTTATTGTCTGGAGCAGCGCCCTGCGGCTGGGCAACGCCAAGGCGACCTCGTTGTCCATCGTTGCAAATGTATTCTGCAGGGCATAATGTTATCGCATTTAGCACATGTTGGCAAAAAATCTTTACAGGTGGGAGAAACGTTATAATAATAATAATTATCGGAGCTTCAATCTGTCCCAAACAGCTTTAAATCCTTAGCAGGTTTAGACTCGCACGAAGTGAAAGACAAGTAGGACCTACGTTTGTACATATTGCACAATGAGCATTACTATAACACTGTTCTTGAAATTTGCAAGAGTACAAAAAAGTCTATGTCAGGGTTAAAAATCTTGTCATACATGAGCCATAGGAGAAAGTTGTAGATCTATTTTGTTGCTGGGGAACATGAATTAATGTTTTACTTAATAACGGGGGAATTGATTACAGTGTTGGGCAACTTATGTTGGAACGCCATGTCATGAACTATAGTCCGTTGCAACCTAAGAACGAAGGGCGAGGGTAAGACGGGTTGGGGAGGAGAAAGCAAACGGAACGCGAGAGAAGGAGGTTTCCCCCTCTCTTCTCCAGCGTTCCGTCTGCTTCCCCGCCTTACCCTCGCCCTTCGCTCTTAGGTTGCAACGGACGTTGTATATCCGAAAGAGGGAAAAGGTCATCCAAAAGACTCGCGTAATCATAAAAAAACTCCAATCAGCGTAGCAATCATAGACAATTCTTACGAATTGTCTCTGCTGTACTAACTCTAAGCAGAGTTTTTGAGAGAGAGAATAAACATTTATTGTGGTCCTTGTTAGTCCAGGACGTCATCTATAATCTTTTGGAATTTTGCTATATGCTTTACGAGCAAACTCCAGAGTAGGGTGCTGTGTGCGGGAGTGATCCATTCCTCCCAGCTGCTCGGATGAAATATTTTCGGTATTGTGTTGAGAGTTACTTGTAGTGCTTGTTGGTTGTGAGGGCAGTCCCAAAGGATATGCTTATTGGTAGGGTGGCACTTTGCGCACTTCAGTTGACCTTCACGTCCCAACAAATGATGCATTATGTGCGGTGTGAGGAGGGTGCCAGTCTGGGCTCTTCGTACCATTGTAGAGTGCAGTCGGTTCAGAAATTGTGAGCATATATAGGGTGACCCAAGTCACCAGGCTCGATCTAAAAGGGGCTGTACAAATCAACGCCTGCACGTAGCAATCTAAACTTTTCGTCAAAAGTATATTTCACAGGTCGTTTTTTTCTTGTAAAATTAGAAAGCGTAGCCCTCTTTCTGTAAAAAATGGGGCCAAGAAACTTGCCAGGGTCTACGGCGGGCAGCGACGCAGACGACCAAGTTCAATAGCAGGGTGTGTTTCGCGTTCATATTGATAGATGGCGTCGGGAGCAGCGTCTGAAGGTGCAGTCAGCCAGCAAAAGAAAGCAGACGACACGCAGACGAAATCCGTCGGCAGCAAAAGCGCCGTCGTTATGCAGACACGTTTTTTCTTCCCTTTAAGTTTTGCTTTTATTGTCTGCATTTATTTTTTAACCAAAAGTACATTTCAAAAAGATTCTGTTCATTTTAATAAGCCGTCGCGATAAGGAGGTAGCACCATCTATCAATACGAACGCCAAACACACCCTGCTACTGGACTTGGTCGTCTGCGTCGCTGCCCGCTGTAGACTCTGGCAAGTTTCTTGGCCCTATCTTTTACAGAGAGAGAGCT